CGAGGAGTGCTTCTTAAGTGCTAGGAATTAGCTTTGTAACTGATCTACTTCAAAGCTAGTGGAACAGTGGACTAGAGGAACGAGTTGTTCCTTGAACCACTATAAAATATCCGGTGTCATTTACTTTACTGCAATTTATATTTCTGCACTTAGGATATTAACTGATTAACTCTAAGACTTGGAATCTGTGTTCAGCAGATCTTGTTTTCAGAGTTATCAGAAAGGCATTTGCCTTAGTATTTTTCTGAGGCTACCCGGACAGATCAGAATCCGCTGCCAAGGCCAGTTCTGATATCAGAACCAGCCTTTCTCTGTCACCAGAATCAGACATTCTCTGATAAGTCATTTTGGACTTAGAGAAAATTTGAAAAACCAATCAGTCTATTCACCCCCCCCTCTAGACTGATTACCATATTAAACGGGACCAACAACAGGGATGCTAGGGGGAAGCTTGATCCAAAGGCAAATGAATGGATATTCATTGGGTATTCTACCAATTCAAAGGCGTACAGAGTATACTTGAAAGACAGAAGAACCGTCATGGAGAGCATCAATGTGAGCTTCTATGAAATGGCGGATTTGTCTTCTGAACATTTTCATTCTGAACCATCAACCTCTGCAAACAATGAAACTCCATCATCTTCTGGAGTAGGAGGGCGGGGAGGTGAGACAAGATCGGATGAGCACGTGGTACTGGATTCTTTATTCGAGCACTTCTACAGCCAACCACGTGCATCACCAAGTACCAATGCTACAACCTCTCAGATCCCCCTGTTACCTGCTCCAAATGCTGAAGAAACCAACACTCATACTTAGAATGATGATGAGCACACAGAAAATGAAGCTGAACATGAACCAACCACTCCTGTTAATGATCAACCTGAAGAAGCTGCAACGCAAGAAACCCCAGAAGCACAACCAGAGCAAGAATATTCTGACCCTGATCATCCAATCATAACTCCACAGCCTCTACAACATGAGAGAAAATGGATAAGGGCACATCCGCCAGAGCTGATAATTGGAGATCCATCTCAAGGAGTCAGAACCAGAACGGCATCAGTAACATTGATTCAGAAATATGTCATATTTTTTAGACAGACTAAAAAAATAAGTGGATCTTATAAAATGGGACAAATGAAACAACACCAACAATAATATAACAACAACAATAATATAGTAGTAGTAATAACTATGATAATGGTCATTGTAAAAAGTAATATGAGAAAAATTATAGTATCATCTTCACACATGCTTTTATAACTCCTATAACTTGAATTTACTACAAAGTATTATAGCAATATAATAAGAATACATAGAGTATAAATACTTGATCAAAGATATATATGAGACACACATTGATAATACAATTTAATCGTTATTTCAATATTATTCTATTAGAGGCTGTTTGATAATATTGAAATTGATTGAGTCATATATTCTGATGAAATTTATGAAGTTCTGACTGAAGTGAGTGAATTAGCTAATTCTGCTAATTAATGAATTTTTTTTTAAATAAAATAAAGAAAATATTATATGAAAAAGTAGTTAAAATGATTCTCTACAAAATCAAAAAGTTATATTTTTAATAAATATTCTTACTTTTTCTTATTATTAAGAGTAAAATGCATAAATGGTCCTTAAACTATCAGCACCATATCGTTTTGGTCCTTCAACTAATAAATCTATCATTTTAGTCCTTATTCTATTTAATGCATTTTAATCAAGTCCTTTTCTACTTTCCGTTAGTTTTGCTGTTTATATTCAATCTTTATCAATTACATATAATACCCATCTTTAACCTAAAATTACAATTAGGGCATTTCCTTTAATCTTTAATTTGAACCGATGACATCCCAAATACAAGCACACATCACTTTACTAAATCATAATGACAATGCACATAAACCTCTAGAAAGCACATTCAAAACAATAGCAGGAGTTTTTTAATAAAAAGGGAGGATTCATTGCTAGCAAGCACCTCCCATGAATCTTTTTTTTTTTTATAATATTGAGTTCTTCATCACGCCGAGACTGGACGAGCATCAATGGAATGCTTGATCATATTGTAGTTGAAAGTGGAGGTGTAACAATGCCTTTTAGTAGCAGGGCCGGCCATGGGGGCATTTTCCTTAGACAGTGTCTAGCTAGGGCCCCCAAATTTCAAGGGCCTCCGCCCTCCAATTTTAAAAATAAGCCTATTACTAATAATATATATGTGTATTTAATCTAAATTGCAAATTTCTAATTAAATATAAGTTCCTGTATGAAAAAGTGGGACAGGCAAGACGAGTAGGAATGGTGGTGAGTAGCATCTGGCAAGCGGCGAGTAGGAAAATTAATAATTATTTTTCCAGTAATTAATTATTATTCAGCAATTAGACCGCACATGCCAAGCGACAAATGACAGTTCAACACTTCGGCCTTTAAACTTCAGGCCTTGTAGTTCTTCTAACAATTTGATTTAGTTCATTTCATTAATTAGTGGATTACTTTTGTTAGATTGTACATCGTTTAGCTTTAGTTGTTTAGTTCTTTTTTCAATTGTTAGTGGCTAGGGAGTAGGGTCTATAGGTATACAAGAATGAAATACAGTAAGTGCAATACCAAGTATAAATTATGATGCATAAATCTATTTATTTACTCAAACAACTCAATTACTCATTTAGGTGTGCAAAATTCTTATGTAGTTGAATTGTGATATGTGAGTTTGATTAAACATTGAATATTTATAATCTTAGTATCTTATTTATGATGAGCAGTAAATTTGTATTTACGAAGCATTTACTTATTTATAATTTCATACGTTCCGCTAAGATTGTCCAATCTTTTCTTTTCGGTCCGTCCTATTAAGATTTCTCAATCAAATTTGATAAAATTTATGTGGTTTTAAGCCATTCTTACTTTTTCTTACTTTATCAATTCAATCAATATCAACCATATCAACGCACTTTTTTAATAACCACACATCCTTCTCATGTCTCTATATTAGTAGGACGTGGGTAGTATTATTTTGAATGGAATTGTAGGTTTTGTAGTGACGGAAAACGAAAACATGATTCAGGGTGTATAAAGAGAAGAACAAAGTAACAAATGACTTGATTATAAAATCGTTTGTCGGCTCTATGAATTTATACGTACTACGTATTAAGAAACAAAACGTCTATATGATTGTCTAAGGCCTCACAATTGCTCTAGACGGCCCTGTTTAGTAGGATGGCTGCAGTTTCAGCCTTGGATGCAAAAACTCCTTATGATCCAAATACCTTAAAAGATTTGTAGAAAGCTTCACCGTTGACTAGGGGTGGGCGCGGGACGGCACGGTTCGGGACTTGACTTATCACGATCCCGACCCAGTATTATAATAACGGTCCAGTACGTTTCGGGATAAGCCATTATCCCAATGTTGTCCCATTTAAAACGAGATCGGGACAACTCGAGAAAAACCGGGACGATTCGGGACGTCCCATAAAATATACATTTGTGAAATGTGATATACAAATATGCATAACATCAAAATAAAGATGTAACTATTTTTGAAAATTTAGCTTCTCTAAAAAAGTTAAGTACAACCTCTAATTAACTATATTTAATTACTGTCTTATAACTTTTTTGGTTCCCCTAATCTTATGTTTCCTTGTAGAATAGTAGCACAAAATATTTTATACTTTGTAGTACACTTGTAACCCTTCAATATCACATTAAATATCATAACTATAAGGACTACATATATATTTTCTACTAGTTATTTTGGAAAATATTAAATCTATAACAACATTATATTTTGGATTAGTAGTTATTCCATCATAAATAATATTTCACACGTAATAATGTATTACGGAGTAGTATCGGAATGAGAACTAGAGAAATTTAATCAAAAGAAACAAAAGAAACGAGACGAATTGAGACATGAAATAAGATAACATGACACTAGGGAGACTAAGGGGTAGAAAGTTTTAATTGGGTTTGACTATTACATATCATTAGAAATTTTGACTATTAGAAATTTTTAAATAAATTTGATAATTTGGCCTAAAATTTGTTGGTTATGTAATTATTAAAACATAATTTTAATACCGCGTAGTAGAAAAAATTTCATATAGACCCTCTTTTTCTATCCCTCAAAGAGGGTGTGTTTGGTTCATCCGCTTGTGCTTTTTCATCTATAATAATATTTATTATTATAGATTGTGTTTAATTTTGATTCTATGATTTTGATTTTGTTTAGAATAGTTTATGTTTTAGACTAGACCAAACTAGAACTCAATTAAACTAGACAAGATCAAACTTTGGTAATTATAAAATACATATATAATAGACATCTACCTGACCAATTTAGACTGGATCAAAACCTAACAATTTTAAAATACACAAAGACCAGACATCTATCAAATCAATTGAGACTAAACTAGATCACAACACAAAAAAAATTCAATCCAAGCCATTGATAAACCGCCCTCCTTTTTTACCAATTTGTTAATTTGGCCACAACCGACCTCTTTAATTTTAGTTGGGAATAATGCTTGGACAGTTACGTGAATTCTCTTAACTCATCGATCAATAAAAAACAATATCTTTAATTTAAAAAAACAGTAAATCCTAAGGTACAAGCTATTAGCCATGTATTATGAGGATCGTACTCCTAGAAACATGCGCACCTAAGGTACAAGCACGTAAGCTTGTATTTTTAAGTCCAAGCACCTAAGGTACATAAGCTTGTCATCGGTTCAAATTAAAGATTAGAAGAATAAGCCATAACGGTAATTTTAAGTTAAAGATGGATATTATATGTAATTTATAAAGATTGAATATAAACGGCAGAACAAACGGAAAGTAGAATAGGACTTGATTAAAATGTATTAAATAGAATAAGGACTAAAATGATAGATTTATTAGTTGAAAGATCAAAATGATGTGGTGATAAAATAGTTTAAGGACCATTTATGCATTTTACTCTATTATTAAACAATTCAGGTATTAAATCAAAAGTTACAGCGGTTGAAAAAGCAGGTCACCAAACAAGCTCGGGAATCCCAAGCTTTTATATTCTTGGGAAAGGCCGGTTTGGTTTAGCCAAAATAGGCTCCGAATTCCGAAGCCCCTCCCAGTACACGAGCTAGCTAGGGTTTCGTTTTCATTGTTCTATCAGCTGAAGCAGAAAAGAAGGCCGATAGTACTCTCTAGCCCCAACAAGAAGAAGACAGAGAGGATGGTGTCGAGAGAGAAGGAGCAGACAACGCCGCACCTCAGCAGCCTCGTTGTCCGACCAACCGAAAGCAGTGGTGGAGGCGCTGGAGCGATTGCCGCAGGTGCTGGCGATTACGAACCAGGCGAGGTTCGTACGGATCAACCTGCGTACTCTCGCTCCGAGCGATTTCTTGATAGCCATGGTCCGTCATTTAGCTAAACTATATTCTAGCATGTCTTGCTACTAACCTTTCAAAATCAACGTAGAAAGTTAGGTCCTTTGGTTCCGATTTCAGCTATTGTACTTTGCGGAAATATATTCTTGATTCGTTCCCATATGCTTCATTGATTTCTTGAGAGATTACTTTTTTATTTGCAATTTTTTTCTCTATAAAAGAATATTATGAACCTTTATTATATGTTATGTTCATTTCTTTACACATATGCAACCTGCTTTGAATCTTTTTAATTATTTTCTAATAAACTGCACTCTGAATTTTTCTTGCACATGCTTAAACTGTGCAATATATGAAGATGTTTTTACGACTGGAATTTTGCTGGTCTGATATGGTTTAAACTGGTCTGGTCCGGTTAATGTCGGGTCTCTGTGTATTCTATAACTATCCATGTTTGGTTTGAACTTGTTTGATCTGGGACCGAAAATAGTACAAGTAAAAACATCCAAAGTACACAGTCATGGTAACATGTTATTTTTAACCTGAAGACTATTTTTTTCTGCTGCCTTGAATATCGTTCCTTTTAAACTTACTTTGTTCATTTCATTTTATTTTCATATCTATCTTCATAAAAGTAAATTCGCAACTCCTATTGTGGTTGAACATAGAAAGTTTTCTGCTCAGTGCTCACTGCTCTCCTATGGATGAGAAGGTTCTTCCTTCATTGGAGTTTAACTTCTGCATTGTATTTTTGCAAATATTAATTTCTCCTAGATGTGAATTAGTAGTAAAATGTCCTTTTTGAATTGTTTCTGTTTTTCACTATACATTATATTGGGTGACTTATAAAAGACTTAATTTAATGATTATTGATGAGGTTAGCTTTTGCTACATGAAAGTGGGTCATTTAGTTCATGGTACCTTTTAAATGTATTGTGAATGTGCCTGTAACAGCAAGTGCATTTCTTGCCAGTGTCGCCGTTCGAGAGTCACATGGGTAATGCTAAAATTTAAATGAATTTTGCTATTGTGTTTACAGCTTTGAATAGTTACCTCATGCCAGAACATGATAATTGAAGGCACGTTGGTATGGTTACTGGTGAATGGTGATGGATTTGGTCTTGGTTTTTTAGTGGTATAAGGGTATTGACTATTGTATTATAAAAGACGTGTATGGAATTTTACATTGAACAACATAAACTGTTAATCTTTCTTGGAGCAACCACTTCACTCTCAAGGAGGGCACACTGTCATGGGTACTGGTGATGGATCTGGTCTGGATTTGTTTTAGGGGGTTTGTATGGTATAAAGGTGCAAGTGGAAAATGACTTGTAAGAAATTGGGGCATGGGTGCCGGCAACAGTTAATGAGATCTTCTCTATTTGGTGTAAGGTGGTTGGGAAGATTTTGGGCACTGCCATTGCCATTGAATTTTAATAATGCATTTGTTGGTGGTGCTATTAGCAGTAATGACTAACATCAACCTGGGGTTTCTGATAAAGGATATAATGTTTGAACTTTATCACTTCTGGTGGGTGGTCTGTGATGCTGTGGTTCGGTCAGTTGACATTCAATTTTTGGTCTTCAACCATGTACTCTTTGTGCTCAGGCTTACTGGCAAGTGGCAACAAATGCATGCCTACTTGGGTGGCTATGTCATTTTTTTAGCTGCTTAATGAGTGAAGGCGTCTTTGATTGGTGGCTTTCAGTTTCATTGTATGCGCTTAGTAAATGGGGTTTTGGTCATGGTGAATGGTGATGGATTTATTGTGTTTGCCAACAAAATTCAGAGTTTTATTGTGTCTGCCAGCTTAGTAAAGCCAATCTCCAAAGTTTCTAGCATCCTAGGAAATAGTACAGCTGTTCAGACCACCTAGATACAGCTCATATGTTCTTTAGTGTCTGATGTATCAGCCATATGGCTTCCCTTGTAGGTTGTTGCCTCCTGATTGTAGTTGCACAAAGATCTTCCAAGTTAATCATTATTCAAAAAAGGATTGGTTAAAACTCGTCGCTTTTTGTAGGCTTGTACTGTTTTGCTTTTCTGACTTTTCTTTCCTTTTTGAACTTATGAGGTTTGGACAACTAAATCTTTCATAAAGTGGTGTGTGGTTTCCATCTGAGTCAGTAATCGTATTTGTTTGTGTTGTTTTCTTTGATAAAATATTTTGTGTAACAGTGAGTCAGCGATTTAGTTGAGGGGAAACAAGGTCTCTTTTGTGATTATAACAAAGTTGATGGTATCGGCTATTGCACATAGAAACCATTGCAGTTGGAATCTAAAGGATCACATGCAGTAGAATTTGATGGGTGGATATAAATGTTCATTTGTACAGTTGTGGGTAACTTGTTGGGTGGATATAAAAACCCCATTCCAGAGGTGGTAAGTTAAGGGCCGCAATCCACTTGGGTCAATATCGTCTTCGCACTGTTGTTTTTCTCCTTGACAAGATCTCCTGAATAATGAGTTGCAAAGTTTAGCTAAAGTAGGAAAATGTGATATGGATTACTGATTCGGTAAAAATGATACTCTCTTATGTTCTGAGCTTCACTGATCTTTTTCAGGATATAGAATGCACTCAGGTTCTGTTTCTCCTGTACGTCGTAGAAATATGGATCACAGGTACAGTCCAAATTTTGACCATTCAAGGGGCCCAGTGCATAGTCGTGGATTTGGTGGCGGGAGAGATACTGGTAGTAGATATAAGGACCACTCACCCCCGTATAATCGTGGAAGGGAAGGTGGCAGGTTTTCTGTTAGAAGTTATGATCGACACAGTTATGTTTCTGGGTCGGTTAGAGCGGATGTTCCTAAAAATAATCCAAATGTGCGGCCTAGAGAAGGTGACTGGATATGCTCTGATCCCCTGTAAGTAAGATCTTTTTATGCTGTGTAACTCATTTGTAATGTTTCTAAAACTATCTTCTGCGCGTAGGGTGTTTGAAAATTGGAAAATCATATGGAAAGAAAATAGTGTGGAAATTATAGGAGCAATTTAGAAGGAAAGAAAACGTGTGGAATAATAATAAAGCATTGGTTCAAACTCAGTAAATTCAATATTGATATTAGGTCAAACTCATTTTTATGTACTCCCTTTGGTTCTAAAACAAGTTCTGGTTTTGACTTCACACATATTAAGAAAATAAATTTGACTTTATTGTGGAGTGCACTGTTTGACACTGTTTGACATTGTTTGGCACTGTTTTGATGTTGATAATTTGCCAAATAAAGAAATGTTTGAAAGTGGAACTTAATTTTGGTATTGCCCGAAAAGGAAAGGTGGAACTTAATTTAGAACCGGAGGGAGTATATATTACCATCATATAGGGGCTTAGAAATTGAATCAGATGTAAAAGTTTTAAGAACAACTTTATTCATATATTTTCCTTGGTTCCATGCATTTACTTGCTCAGTATAAGTTGCTATTCATGTGAAAGTGTAAAACTGGCTCCAACTAACTATAATATATGGAATTTTAACACCTCACCTATTTCAAGTTTTCATTTATTTATAATTCTTTCATTCTGTGCGCTTGATACATAGGTGTGACAACTTGAACTTTGCACGCCGGGAGTACTGTAACAACTGCAAGAGACCACGTTATCCACCAGCTGGTAGCCCAAGGAGAGGTCATGCCCCACTACCTCCCTTATCTCGGACTCTTCCTGCCCCCTTGGTGGATCGTTCTCCCGGAAGGCTTATGAATGGATATAATAGATCCCCTCCACCTCGTGGATGGGCCAGAGATGATCCTAGAGATTTTAGGGCAGGGATCCCTCCTCCACCTCCACCCAGGTATGAAAGCAGGTTTCATGATCACCCTCCTCTGCGTAGAGATTTTCTTGAAGATGATTACAGGGACAGCAGGGGTAGAGGATTTGACAGACCGCTGGCACTTGACTGGGGGGCTAACAGAGACCACCGGGGCAGGGAGACCTATTTGGGCGAGAGGAGAGTGTACGAGAGACGAATGCCATCACCCCCACCTCTGCTGCCATCCCTGCCACCGCGTGGTGGTCACTGGCCTCGTGACGTGAGAGAGAGGAGCCGAAGTCCAATCAGGGATAGAGCAGCATCTTTGAAGGACTATCGCCGCCCGGTGTTTGTCGACAGGGGCCGAGACGATCGCCGTGTTGGGCGTGATGCATATTAAGGATCGATTTTTAATCAATTATGGTGGGGCGTTTTGTTGTTATGAATGACCAAGCCCATTACGCTCCCTCTTTTCAGTTGCTTTCTTGACTTTTATGTGATAGTGCCCATTTGTAAACCATGATGATGATGCCGCTCGGTATTATTTTTTCCTGTGAGTCTTTTATGCGGAGCGACGGACGAGCTTATCATTCGAATTACATGAGGTAAATGAGTCACTTTTATCAATTGATTTTGTTGTTAGGTAGCGTTACCTAATGGGATTACATAATCATTCTCCTCTTTATGGAAGAACCGTTCTTTACGTCTCAATGTCTTTATCCAATGTTGGATTTGCATTCTCTTAGAGCATGCACATTGCACAATGGTGCCCTTTCTAGTGAAGGAAAAGTCTGTCATGTCATAAATTAAGACATTGTCTACTAAATTTTGGTTCCAAATTTCCAATGCAAGTAGTCTTTGAATACGGTAGGTTGACATGTCAAGAAGACTCGAGAGAAAAAGTGAACACTTGCTGAGGTAAACGAATATAGCTTTGATGAAATGGAGAGAAACTAGAAAAATAAAACATAGCAAATTAGATCTCTTTCTAGGTGTATAAGGTGTGTAATTTCAATTTCTCCAATCTCCAAATCTCAGCAGCAAAAGGTCTCCTAGGTGTGTTATTTCTTCACAATTAAATTAATGAGAGTTTAATTATAGTTATGAAAACATATAATACTCACACTCTGTAGAATTTGGAATGGAGTCAGTGTGTATAGCAGCAAGGAATTTGACGTTTCTTCTGTATTTGCAATTTCTGTTAGTGCTTTGGCGATGGGGATAATAAAAAAAATTATTAATAAATTAAAAGCCACATGTACAATTAACAGGGGTGTATTGTGTTAGGATTTACTCGATTTAGTGGCAAATTTTAAAAGTCCATGGATTTTCAAAAGTTTAGGTATATTCAATGTGACTTTTAAAAGTCTGCAAAAGTCTAGGCGTATTCAAACTTCCCTTTATTCATATTGACTTCTAAAATCATGGATTATCGTGGACTTTTAATTCATTCTTAGTGCATTAATTCTCTACAGTTGTCTCTTCTCCTCACTAAAGATTTGTGTGGACTTTTCTTATATCGGTTCTTCATCATGTCCCACACTCCCACCCCTCCCCTTCCCTCCCCAACTCTCTTCTTCTTTAGCCAAGCGGCCCAAGCCGCCACCACCTCCCCTTCGATCTTTCTTTTTCTTCTTCAGCCTAGCTCGCCCCACCCCTCTCCTTCCGTTCTTCTTCTTCTTCTTCAGCTTATCTCACACCACCTCCCTCGATTCGTTAATCTCATATCGATTCGGTTCTAGAATTTTTTAGAAGAACCGGTATAAAGATTGATAGTGTTACATCGGTGAAATTTTGGTACGTCGTAAATTAACCATTAAGAAAATAATTATTTTAACTATTACTTTCTTTCTTCGTTAAATCGCTAACACATGAAAAATATAATATCAAATTAATAAATTTATATCGTAAATAAGTATACAAAATTTTACAAGATAAAAATCAAAATAAAACAATTATTAAGAAGAAAAGCTTGATTGCATCTATGCTTGTATCACATGTAGCAATGAGTGTAACGTTTGTGTAATGATTAATGTTGTACTCGTTAATAAAGTGACCAAAAATTTTGAGCATTCTTGAAACTTTGAGTTTACTTTTCAATAAAAACAAATATGGATTCTTATGCTTCATTTATTCTTGTAGAACTTTGTGTAGCTATATAAATTACATTTGTTTTAGTTATTTATTTATTTAATTGTTTCTTATCATATTCCGTATTATAAAGAGGAAATTACTCACAGTAAGACTAAAACATAAGGAGTAGCATTTTTTTAAAGTATGATCATATGTTTGATTTTCTTTAAATAGGACTAAATATTACATATTCACCCCTAATTTAATTAATTAATTAATATAATTAATTGTCCCTAGTTCCCTTGCATAATCAAAGCCATTTCGTTGGTGGCGAATCAGTCCGATTACGACGGCGGGGAACTTCTGTGACGGAGGCGGACAGGCAGATCGGTAGCGGCTATCTAGGTGAAAATTCTGACGACCAGCAGTGGCGGTCCGCATTTAAAAGTCTAGACCTTTTGAAAGTCAATAAACTTATCCATGGATTTAAAAGTCAATAGAATTCATTCATAAAAAAATCTATGGATTTAAAAGTCCATTGACTTTTTAAAAAGTCTATGGATTTAAAAAGTCCAATATAATCCATATTCAATACACCCCCCTAAATGATTAAGGGAGTGTTTGTGAATTGTGATTGCTTCTTTTTCAAAAAAAAGTGATTTTGGAGAAAGTATTTAATACTCCGTATTCCGTAGTAAAAGTTGGTAGTGTTTGAAAAAATGTTGTTCTTAAAAAGTAAAAGTTAGTAGTCTTTGGTAAAATAAGTATTTTTTGTGTAATAGAAAAAATAAAAAGCAGTTTAAACCATCCTTCCATTTGCTTCCAGCTTTTAGTTTTTAGTACTTGATTTAAGTAAAAGCTGTCATTTGAAAACACCTTTTTTAGTTTTTTTTAGCCAAAAGGCATTTTTTTTGTTTTAGCAAACACTCCCTAACTTGGACCATAGATTTTATGCATTGGAAGATTTTTTTATACCTCAAAGCCCCGCTAGTTCATTTTGTAGAATTTAGATTAGAAATCCATTTAATTAATTTACATATGTCATACTTCGTATTTTACAAGCGTTAGAGAGAGCCGCAATGCCGTTGCTCTTATAGTCTTATGCCGTATTTGGTTGTAAAGTTAAATATTAAGATGAGTTATTATGCGTGGTAAGAGTTGCACAGTGTTTTACCTTGTTTATAAAACGTTTTTCTGTTTAGCTTTTAAGAATCCCATGAACAATCAAAAAACGAATGCTTCAGAGCTTTGATAGTGTCACTCTTACCACCTTTACATCGTGTGGGCCGTAATCAGAGACTTTTATTGGGTCAAAACTTGATATATAAGTTTTGCACATTAATCTTTGTGAATGTTTCAAACATCCCATATTACATTTAACATTACACATAACCCCTCGAAAAAAAATATTACGGAGTATAAAATAAAAGAAAGATTATTAATGCAACTTTGTCAAATTTACTTTTATGCTCAGTACTTAAACTACTAGTAATATATATGTGAATTTTCAAATTGTTAAATTTGGTATCCAAGAGATTACACACTTACAGTGGTGATTAATGATAACTCAAAGGGTTTTATACATTTTTTTTTGCATCACAAGGGAGTATCACAAAATTTATATATCATGAGAAGGTTTGACATATTAAACCTTAACAAGAGATGATTGTGATTACAATGCATTCATATTAATCGTCCTGTTCGAATAGTTGTGATAGTACATACAAATAATGCACCTATATCAATACCCACACACAGAGATATATGAGCATATCATGTGCAGATGCATGTGGGCTTATAGTTTTCACTTAATTTCATGTTTTGTACAATCGTATTGTAAAAGAGATAGCTTTATCTTGCTTGTTCGAAAAATATGAGAAGAAAGGTTTTTGTAGCTCAAATCCTTATTTCATTTTTTGGGACTGTTGGGATATTGGGTCCAGGCCCAATATCCCTAGGCCCAAATCCGGGAAGAAGCAGCAAGCCCAAAGAACTCCCGAACGGCATTCGGGATAAAACTTATACTTGGAACATTCTGGGTAACGATTATGCCAAGGTATCAAGGCCCAAATATCGATCGGCGTTCGGGATACTTCAGGTAGAAATTATCACCTATGGCGGGGTCCCACACACCGAACACCTTGCCCGAACGGGCAGTCAGCAAGTGGAGGCCGCATTTAATGCTGGATCATGACAGCTGCAAGTGGGGGCATGAGTGCTTACATGGCAGAGGTGATAGCCTACCAGATTCGACCACGTGTCCACCTTACCCATCCCCATCTTAGTATAAATATCCATGTTTAGATCATTGTAAAGGGTTAGCATTTTAAGACTCAGAGCTTAGCAATAGATTTACATCTCCCATCCTTGTAATCTCATATTCATCTACCGTTCGGGTAGTTTCAGTGTAATTGCTTAATTACAGAATATAAGTAAGTTTTTGAGTTGAATATTGTCTCACTATTTTATATTTTATACACATTTCAATCCAACCCAATATCCCTACAATATCCAAGGCTTGTGTTGGGCTTTCGGATCTTCGGGAATAAACCTCAACATTGGCGCCGTCTGTGGGAAACGAAACTAAAAGTCCAGGGAAAACCGCTGATCTAAGCACCATTTTTCTTGAAATGGCTAGGCTTACTACCGCTACACCGAGTTCTACATCCAGAGGCCGAGGAGGCAATAGATCCTCTGAAGGGTGGTCCATGCAAGGACAAGCCAGTGGCAGTGCCACCCGGGAGTTCGAGCAAATCATCCCTCGGGACGTAAGGATGAACCCTCAGTTGATGAGGGAGATGGCAGAGGCCATGCAACGCATGGCGGATGAACAGGAACAGGGATACACCGACGAGACACATGAGCCCCTATCCCCCATTCATCCTATGACATCCTTTGACGAAAGAGAAGACACTGAGACCACCACGGCCTCAGCACATTCCCAGGAGCATCGAGGAAACCGCAGGAGGACCCACCCTTACGGGCATGCACAGCCAGCCCCAGCCAGCCTAACCCCGTCCGCACCTCGAAACGGATATAGGGATCCTACCCCCGTGGTAGACCCCGTTGGACAACACTTCCAGTATATCCAGAGGGATGGGGAACGCTTCATCCGGAGGAGAGCTAACACAGCTGCCCCTCCCCAAAACAGAATACCGGAATATGTGGATGCTAGGATACCACATACTCCCCGAACGGCCCAAGACGACGAAATGGCCGAAATGAGAAGACAGATGACGGAGCTCAGAGAGCAGGTCAATCGGACGCCCCAACAAACCCCGCCAGCACGGGTTGGGATTACTTCCCCCTTTACCAGGGAGATCATGAACGCCGAGATTCTAAGGGACTGCCGTCCCTCGGCAGGCTTAACATACGATGGGGTGGGAGATCCCCACGTACACCTGAGGAGTTACCAGGGTGGCCTCATGCTATTAGGGGCCACCGACGCGGTGATATGCAGTCTGTTCTTCAGCACCCTTCGGGGACCAGCCCAGGAATGGTTCGGAACATTACAATCCGGGTCGATCGGGAGCTTTGCGGAGCTATCCACCTTATTCTTAGCTCAGTTCGCCTCCAGCACAACCCCGAAATTACATTTCGGGTATCTGACCAGTGTGAGGCAAGGGCCTA